GAGAGAGAGAGAGAGTTTACTTGAAAAGGGCAGGCCTTGGTCATTTGGGAAGAGAGAAGAATGAGGAGAGACCAGTATTTCTTGGATTGCTGAATTTTGGGAGCTGATGACACTTCCGATAATGTCGATTTCATGGAGAGTCATGAAATTAAGCAAGCCATGTAATCCACAATTTCATGATCAGAAATAAAGAAGTCTAGCTTTAAATAAAGCCTCCAGAAAAGGAACAGGGAGTGTTATATGTTTTCCTTCTTTTTTAGTGATGTGTCGATATGGTTCTATGTTTTATTAAGTTATATGCATGAGAGGCACCATGAGCACATCTGAAAAACCAAGATGCATGCATGGGCTTAACAAACGTGAAATGAATCAAAATTTCAAAAGTAAAGTGCAATGATCCAAGCTACCACATTTTATTGTGAAAGCAATACATAGTACAGCACATACAATTATTCAATGTCCATTATTTTGGTGAGTGCTGCTATTCATTATCCGATTTCTGATACAACCGTACAATTCACCGCCTGAAGGCTCCCCCACTTAAAAAACTCATGAGGGATAATACCAATCCAGGCTTTTCTATCCTCTTCTTTTTTCCTTTTTTTTGCCCTTTCTGTTAATTCATTTCTTCTTTATAAACAGAGAATCCAAAGCCTCCTTCCATCTCCAAAGGACGACTCTTTTATGGAAATTATTACCGACTGTGTTCACACTGGGAAATTGCCAGTCCTACGCATATGTTCCAATGTAGCATACAGCCCATATTTAGTAACCGCTGCATATGCAGCTCTGAACCCTCCTCCATATGCTGGTGATGAGTCGCTCGCTATTTGACACATGAAGAATTGACCGAGCTTCTTCTCAAGATCCGAGTTCCCCATATTCTTTTTTGATGATGATGAGTATGATGATGAAGCATATGCATATGATGGAGCATATGAAGAAGAAGATGACGATGATGCATATGATGAGTATGGTCCATATGTAGTGTTGCTTGAGCCAGACATAACTTCCGATTCAAGCCACATATGGGAGAGCACCTGACAAATGCCTTCCTCTACTTCAAGACTGAGGTTACGATAACCTGCATCAATGGAAGATGTTATCTTCTAGTGAATAGAGAAAGACAAACATAACAGTATTTATTGAAAAATTAACAACTTTGAAACAATACTCTCTCTCTCTCTCTCTCTCTCTCTATATATATATATATATATATATAATAAT